AATATTTCATCGTTTCACTTGTATAACTTTTCAAGTCATGAATTTGAACGTGCTAATGTTTTCTTGTGAAACTCGCTGAAAGACTCAAGGATTTTTTGGTACGTCAGCTACTTAGAAACAAGCGTATTAATTTTACAATGGAGTTCATATTTGCGATGGTAGGTCGAAAAACGAGTAGATGGATTACCTGATGGTAAGCAATTGGTACCGCCCATAGACACCCGCAATAACAGGGCATTACAAAGGTTTTGCCGGCCTATTTGGGATTAGTGTTTCGGAGGCATTGGAGAGGAATGGGGTATGATTTAGGCCTCAAGTAACCTCATTCAAAAGGCGAAACACAGCTCTGTGGTTGTTTCACGCTGTTCTGTGCGGTCGTGGTATCATTCTGGTCGAGTCAACCCATTCGAGCTAAAGCTTGGCTCTTCTACACCTAAAACTAAACTTGCAATGTATGTGTTTAAAAATATGTTTGATGTGGAATGTTACAACTGAATTTAAAAAACAATTTTAGTTTGCATAGGCATAAAAATGCTAAGCTGTCAATGTACCTATATCTGAAAAACACAGCGCTGTGTTTCGGCACGTGAATAAAGTAACCAAAGGCTCAATCCTGCCCCTCCCCCATCACCAATCCCCAAATCCTATTATATCCTAAACAACCCTTAATAGGTCCGCGAAGGTCTTGAAACTCTGGTGTAGTGGGTGTCCATGGTTATCTTGTTTACCATCAGGTAATCCGTTAGCGCATATATAAAAATAGAACTCGGCTACAATAATAAAACATTATGACCTGATTTCGAATGTAATTTTACTGAGATCTCGGCTCATAAGCTTGTATTACCTATATTTATTGCAACTACCAGCCTCGGCGCCATATTTTATTTTCTATTTAATAAGTCAGCGATCTTTCTTTGTTATATACTAGTAAATGTGTAGTTTCTTCTGGAAATTTTGTATTCCATGTAACACAAGCAGAGGAAACACCTGATGGTAAGCAATTGGCGCGGTGAATGGTCACCGTGTTTTGGGATTGTTGGATTAGGAGATTAGGGATTTGGGGCATAGGGGGATTAGGATTTGAATTGAGATTGGCGAGAAAGGGATTGGGGATGAGGTTGAGGTATTGGGATTGGTACTAATAAATGAAAGTGGGGATTTGGATTGGAGATTGGGATTAAGAATTGGGATTCGGGATTGAGAGAAAGAGAGGGTTTAACCTATTTAATTTTGTTATCCGATTTGCACAATTTCAAATTCGCATTTGTACTTAATAAAAAAATAATTTTTGGACTAATGTTTTATTTTTACGTATACTCTCTTCATGACTACACAAGCCTGAACAGCGTCTGAGATTTCAAATTTTACATAACAACAAATCACACTTCACACAAAAAACCAAAAAGGAACTATAAACGTGTTCTTTTAAAATTTAAATTCAAATGTCTGCTCGTCGTAGTAAAAGTTAATTCTGGATTCTGCGAACGGATGAATGCTTAAATAATAATACAGGCTGGCATTATTTCTGCATTCTCTCTGTGTCTACGAAACAATTTACGCTTTCCCCGTGTTAGCTAAACGAGAGATTTCCGAATGCATTTTTCATTTAAAATTCAATTTGTATTTTGAATTCTCTTTCGAAATGTACATTTTCATTGTCATCTTTGAAATTTTTAGCAAATTGAATATTGTATCTGAAATGATAAAAAGTATAAAAACTAAAACCCAATTACGACAAAAAATTACGCTGAAATAGTATAAAACATAATTTTCAGAATACTGAAAGGCGTAGTCACACGTTAGGTACATATAAACGTACGTAGTAGTAGTACGTAGGTAACCTAAAATGATATTATAAGTAAAAAGGTATATTCTGGGCAAAACAATTGATGATTTCCCTCAACCAAAAAAAAAGTAATTTAACCGTATATAATTTATAATAAGAATGAGAAAGTCACAAATAAAAACTATTATTTTTCCAAGTAAAAAATTCACGTCACGCGTCTATTTTATCAATATTTCAAACCAAATAATCGCACATTACTCTTGCTACGAAATTTCATTCTTTTTAAACTTTACGATGTCTGGTGAAATGAATCCCCATATTGTATTAACGAGATTGTCTGAAAACGTCTTCTTTATTGAGGGACATCTGCCTTATTTGGCCCCGTCTGTGGTTCTTTAATGCCATTGAAGAAGCTTGATCGTTTTTATAGTACTTTGTCACATATTTTTCATCAATTTCTTCTTGTGCTTGATGAATGGCACTTTGCCTTTATTTTTCATGTGGTAGGTCGGTAAACAAGCACACAGACAACCTGATGGTAAATCGGCACCGTCCATGCACACGCCGTGTGATTTTCATTTTTTTTTATGGGATAAGTCTGCAAACGAGCAGACGCATTACCTGATGGTAAGCAATCGGCGCCGCCCATGGACACCCGCAACACCAAATGAGTTACGAGTGCGTTGCCGGCCTTTTGGGGATAGGGGTTGCGGATATAAGGATTGGGATGGGATAGGGGAAGGGGAGGGATTAGGCATCCGGTAACCTCACTCACACCGCGAAACACAACGCTGTGGGTTGTTTCACGCCGGTATTCTGTGAGGCCGTGGTATCACTCCGGTCGAGCCGACTCATTTGTGCCGAAGCTTGGCTCTCCCACACTTACATTACTGAAGACCTAATGCTTCCATGCCACATTGCCTTATCCCCAACCCCAATATTCCAGTAACACATCAAAGATTGACTTTTCGGTAACTCTGCAAGTGTTGCCAGTGGCGCTGATTGCCTAGTAACATCAGGAAATTCGTCGGCTCGTTTACCAACCTATACCATATAAAGGCATAAACATAATGTTTTGTTTTATTCTCTCTTTACGTCATCTTATACAAATTTACTTTAGGATTTTATACATCAAGGGATGAAATGATCAACCCTTGTGTGCTCAAAAAGCTTGGAATAATCTCAAGGGTCCATAAGACCCTTTGTAAGTCAATCACAATATATGTTTGGATTACGTAGGGTTAAAATCTTTATCCCAATGTCATACATGATTCAACAATTTATATAAATACATATTGATATATTTTATAAACAAAAAATTACTTTGCCTTTGATATTGGCAAAATAAATGCGACTACAAGAAATTCGCGCAGCGCCTTTTAAAATTTAATAGCAATATGCACAGATGTGTATTTTTGCATTAACAAAAATAATAGACTAGAGACACGCCCCGACTTCACTCGGATAAACTGATGATACTCAATTATTTTACTAGTAAATGGATGTTATACATATGAGGCTTCCCATCAATCACTCTATCTTTAAAAAAAGCCGTTGTGTGATTTTAAAGATTTAAGTATACATAGGGATATAGGGACAGAGAAAGAAGCTTTCTTTTAAATAAGTGTGGGAGAACGGAGCTTCGGCACGAATGGGTGGCACCATGTGAGTGAGGTTGCCGGAGACCCGATGCCTCCTCCCCATCTCTTCCCAATTCTTAAATATCCATAACCCCTATCTCCAAAAGGCCGGCAACGCATTGGTAACTCCTTTGGTTTTGCTTGCGTACCATTACGTAAATCGTCAGAACGTTTGCTGACATGACCCATCAAAAAAAACTATGCAGTGAAGTATGAAATTTCTTTTAATAAAAATAACTATTTAGCAGTGGGTGTACAGTAAGCTCTGCCTACACCCATCACAATAAGAGGACACCTACGTGGCATCTCAAACTTGTTCACATAGAAATTATATTTCTAGTCGTAGCCAAAATATCGTAAGGAAAAACTATTGGTAAAGTTATTTTGGTAATACATAAGTAACATAATGTTTATAAGTATTTGGTTTATTAGGAAACACCCACAATTGGTGGCGATATTCGGCAGTCGATTGTTCAGACACTCATCATCATCATCATCAGCCTATAAGTGCCCACTGCTGAGCAAAGGCCTCTTCTCATACGGAGAAGGTTAGAGCATTAATCACCACGCTTGCTCAATGCAGGTTCACGATTTCAAACTTATAATTAGAAATTATAAGTCTAGGTTTCCTCACGATGTTTTCCTTCACCATATGTCAGTGGTGTCTAAATAATCATAGAAAGTACATATAACTCGGATAAAGTCACATATGGTACTTGCCAGGTTTCGAATCCACACCCTTATGCATGAGAAGCGGGCTGCTTAACCTCCGGGCCACCACGAGATAGTATTCAGACACTATTCAAAACATATTATCTTCAAATTATACTTTCACGGAAATGTTGCAAGGCAAATGTTACAACAAATGTTGGCGCGGTGGCTGGGCAATTGGCTGTGGCACAACATGTAGTGGGTCCAATTCTCACACAGAACAACTCTTTGTGTGATCCACAAATTGAGGTTCCGAGTCTAAACCAAAACAAGGGCGAAAATTTTAGTGTGGGCAACGTATTTTTAAAAAAGAACCGTTTTAACATATTTATGTATGTGTAAATATATTGTAATAATGGAATCGTTTACGATATTATTTTGTGTCATGGACAAACATATTATGTGAAACATTTGAAACAGGTTGAATTTTAATTTGGTATATTTTTGTATTCACACCCAGTACTCCATGTTGAAAACAATAAATTGTGAATCGCACAAGGAAATGTTTCGGGCAAGAAGTTATATAACTAAGTTTGTAAGTGAGGGAATTGGCGATGGCCCAACTGTATAAATCATATAATCGATCTATAACTAACGAAGATATCTCTCTTGTTTCAGTTTGCTCCACCGTCGGCCTGACTTCGGAAAGAGCTGATCATGACAGACGGCCGCAAAGCAAGCTAAGCCTGTCGAATTATGACATAGATGCAAGGAGCAAATGGACCAATAATTTAGAAAAAAGATATATTAATTACATCGAAACCGTAGATGAAGTAAAAATTAATGATAATCACAAAGGAAATGAAATACAAATGAGAAACTTAGATATACATAAGAGTAACGTTGAAAGAATGAATTCAAAAATGAGGAATTTCGAAGTTGGCAAAGAACTTAGAAGAGTTAAGAGGGATGATAAGGATCCTAGATGTGAATCCTTTAATTTTGATAGTAAGGAAATGTTTATAACACATCCCCATCCTAAGAATAGTGGGAATAACTATTATTATAATAATTCTGATTGCGTCACTAAGATTAATGGTGAGTATTTTTAACTTATCTATTTTAAAGTAGGCTTTTGTATTTGGTTTATTAGCAATTAAGAAGTTCTAAGTGCGGGAGAGCCATGCTTAGGCACGAATGGACCGGATCGACCGGAGTGATACCACGGTCTGACAGAAAAACGGGGTGAAAGAATCACAGCGTTGTGTTTCGCCGTGTGAGTGAGGTTACTGGCGACCTCGAAAGAAAAAATAACCTGAAATAACCACGGCGTTCTGTTGGCTTTAGGAGTGAAATTACCGGGGGTCCAATCCTTGATGATCCAATAAACCTGGACTTACAATTTTTAATAATTAGTTTCAAATTAACAGTCCGCTTGGAGCAAGCGTAGTGACTACTGGTAAGCATCAATGTGAGAAGAGGCATTTGCTCAGCAGTAGGCACTTAGAGTCTTGGATGATAAGATTAGGTCTTTTTTGTGAGGGGAAAATCATCAAATGACTTCCCCCGCCCAGGGCCGGGCGGGAGGGAGTGTCAGACTCTTACTGACTAAAAACCCCCCAGTTCCTTCTCCTGCTCTAGGCCGAGGTCGCGGTGCCTCATTGCGCTTACCCGGCTGAACATCAGCTCTATAGGGCCCCGTCCGTGGTGGTCTATTGGCTCTTTGAGGCGCACGCGGAACGTTACGCGCCGATCTTTAACAAAGTCTGTATAGCTATTATGTAGGTACTAAATTTTGAATGAAGAACGAATTTTGTATGACTTATGAAGATCTTGAAACAGATGTTTTATAAGATTTTCAATTTTATAGCTCGTTCATAAGGTTGCAAAATGCATGATCAATGAGCATAGTCCCGATATTGGCTCAGCCACAGGAAAATCAAGGGTGGAATTCAATATATTCTACTACCCTGTCACAACACATTGATATTTCAAATCGTTATATAGCCATATTTTTCTAAACAAAAATTTAAATAAGTATCTAAGAAACTACTGAGCCAATTTTAGGGAAATTTTGTAGTCGTACGCAATAATATTAAGGTCTAAAAACATAATCAAATCAACATTTTCGAATCAGAGTTTAGAAAGTCATAGAGAATATCTCGCGTATTTGCGGGAACCAAGGAGCAGGTTAGTTTTTAGTCAGTAACAGTTTGTCACTCCGTGTAACCTCACGACAATAGGTAAAAGCCATATGACTTGATTCGCCCTCAAACCCTGAAAAAAAATTAAGATTAATTTTTCGCTCTAAACTTTAAAAATATTAACACACACATCATCAAATAAAGGGAAATTTTTGCACCATAAGTGCGTATAAAGACACTGAAAGTGCCAAGCCTTCTTTTCCCTTTAAATCCATGGCTTTATATATGTCACAGCTAAAATACATATGATCCATGGTGACTGACGTACTAAACCCCATAAAGACGATACGATTCATGTCACTGTGGATTTTTAACCATCTATACTAATATTATAAATGCGAAAGTAACTCTGTCTGCCTGTCTGTCTTTTTTTGACGTGACGTGACGTGACTGTGAAATTTGGTACAGACATAGTTTGGAACTCGAAAAAGGACATATGATTGTTTTTATACCAAAAATCTGCAGGAAGTCAGTATTCCACGCGAACAAAGTCGCGGGCAAAACTTCTACTTACTAACATACACAAACATACAAAACATAAAACAGATCGATAATAAAAAAATTTTTTAGCTTTAAATATAATGAAGGTAAATTTAGCGAGCTACTGCAAAAAACATGGATTTTTCAGATATTTCGACAACTTCACATATACTGAAATAATAATACTTTTCTTAAAGTCGGATTATCACAATTCAATGAACATATATTTTGATAGCTCTCACAATGGCCCGATAAATTATGTTGTTATTGCCATAATATAAATTATATTACAATTAGGTAGAATAAATACAGACTGCTGAGTTTTCACAAATATCGATAATATTTGTGAAAACTCAGCAGTCTGTGATAATCCGTAGTATTAGTATAAAGCCTTTTTTGACCTTCTCCCACCCTGGGACGATGACGACGCGTACGCCTCTTGAGGGTTATTAGGGATTTAAGGATAGGGGTTTGGGAATTAAGGATGGGGGGACGGTTTGGGCCTCCGGTAACTTCTTTCACACTGCGACATATAACATAAGTTTTACTTTACGCCTATTTCCTGTGAGACTGTGGTATCACTCCGATCAAGCCAACCCATTCGTGAGCGTTTACCCCTTTTTTTGAGGGCGGATACTCATGAATGACCTTGAATCTTCACATACACATCACAGGCACATTACCTTGCTTACACCAGCAACAAAAAAAATTATATTTTTATGGTTTAAGTCGGCAAACGAGCAGACTTATAACCTGATGGTAAGCAATCGGTACCGCCCATGGACACCCGCAACACCAAAGGAGTTACGAGTGCGTTGCGGCCTTTTGGGAATGGGGGTTGCGGATATAAGGATTGGGAAGGGATAGGAGAAGGGGAGGGATTGGGCCTCCGGTAACCTCACTCACACGGCGAAACACAACGCTGCGGCTTGTTTCACGCCGGTATTCTGTGAGGCCGTGGTATCACTCCGGTCGAGCCGACCCATTCGAGCCGAAGCTTGGCTCTCCCACACTTATAAAAATGTGATGAATATTATAACGTTAAGATTTTTGCGTTAAAAATCACCATCATTCATTATACCTAAGCTACAAGACGCTTATTGCTGAAAACTGGCCTCTCTCAATGACTACCAAACCAGCTGGTTAGAAGGAATATCCAGTCCATCCACAGTTTCGTCAGGCGGCCGTCTGCAACTTTCTCTTACAAATAAAGTTCTATGTTACAGCCACAACGACAGACATGGTGATACAGCTGACGTTTGTGGATGTCTTCCGTATAGAATATCATCCAGAATGTGCATACGATTATCTGGAGGTAAGTGCCGTCAATCTATCTCTTATTTAAAAGTCCAAACAGCTTAAGCTTGAATTATTTGGTCGAAATATTTTAGAACTTATTTTTTTTAAAGAATAACGTTGACCAACACTTGGATTTTCACTTGGGTTGTTTTTTCTCATACAATTTTACATACACATGACGTCCAGACCCGGAACAACAATTCGTGGATTACACAAAGAGTTGTTTCGTGCGGGAATTGAACCCGCGACACGTTGCACGGCAGCCAGTTGCCCAGGCGTCGCACCAACCGTGCAGTCTTTTAATTTATAAAGAGATTCATAAAACAGTTCGTTTGTACTATCGGTTCGAGTTTGAGGGGACGGCAAATTATCAGACGGATCTTCTGAAGGTAAGCAATCGGTTCTACCAGTAGACAATCGCAACACCGAAGAGTTAAGAGGATAGGCGATGGAGGGTGATGAGCATTTGACCTTCGGTAACCTCATCCCCATGGTTATAAGGGATTTATGGCTAAAAGCGGTTCATGGCTTAAAACAAGCCATGGCTAAATAAGCGGGAAGCGTTGATTTCATAATTTTTTTTACTAAGATAATAAGTTTATTGACCAAAAGAATGGTGTACATTCATTAATTTGCAATATTATCAATGCAATATTAGCCTTGAGTTTAGTAAAATGATGATAACTTTTTTCTAATGAACCGATTTTGATGAAACAAGTTTAGATATTATTCTGAGTTAAAGCAAATCTGTTCTGTACTTACGGAGATAAACTTAACATATGTACAAAGACAGATAGACAAAAAATTTAAGAAAGTTTTTAAGTTAGCACTCCAATAATCTTTTTAAGTTAGCATTCTAAAAATCTTTTTAAGTGGACCTCTATCTATTTCAGTTAAAAATACTAAATTTACAGACAAAATATTTTACAGTTGTATTATATAGGTGTATATGTATATACTCTATACTAATATTATAAAGAGGTAAAATTTGTAAGTTTGTATGTAGGGAAATCTTTGGAACCGCTGGTCGGATTGCCAAAATTCTTTCACTGGTAGATAGCTACAAAGTTTCTGAGTGCTATAGGCTATAAAACATCACGCTACGATCAAATGGAGCTGAACAGCGGGTGGTGGCGGTGAAACCGCGCGAGAGTAGCTAGTGTATATAAATATAGATATATAGATATTATTGTTATTTGTATTATTCTATTAGGTATGTATGTATGTATGTATATATATTATTATTAATACTGTTTATTCCACCAGATCCGCGACGGTTACTATGGTTACGCTGACCTCATGGGCCGGTTTTGCGGCCAAGCCTTTCCAAGAACATTGAAAACGAAAGGACCAAATGTTTGGCTGAAGTTCCATTCAGACGACACAATAGAATATGAGGGTTTTAAGATAAACATCGAGTTCAAGCCTGGCCCAAGCCGTGAGTATGAGATATGACATTTTTCCTCGAATTTGAGTCCTCATGGTCCTTAGTTTACTAACTATTTTACCATTGAGTGTATATAGAAATCTCGTTTATATAGATGCTAAGGAAATCACAAATACTTGCTTTAAGAAAGAATATAATTATTTACGTAAAGTTATCAGGAATGGCAAACAGTAAATTTCAATACTCACACATGAAATCCATCAAAAGGAGTTGCAAATCATCAACAACCTTCCTCCAACCCATTACAATTACTTTTACAAACAAGCAGATTGATTACCTGATGGTAAGCAATCAGCGACGTCCATTTGCACCTCCAACTTCAGAAGAGTTACGAGGGTGTTGGTGACATTTTGGGAAATGTGGTGAGGTTTTGAAGATGTATAAATTGAAGGATTGGGTCATTTCATCGAAGGATAGGCCTAGTCTATTAGCAAAAGCTACATTACTGAACAAGAAGTGGACAGAAACATAATTATACCCGACTTGACCAAAAAGTATGATAGTTTAATATTTATTTTTCCATAAACAGACCATATACCAGAGGAGTGCTACACGACATTTGATGAGGACAAATTCGGAGTGATAGATACGAAGAAGATTGACCCATTATGCTTGAGTAACTCCAACCAAGCTCTAGATGTACTATGGAAGATTGTCGTCCCGAAGAATATGAAGGTAAGAAGTTTATTCTACCTAGTTTTTTATGAAATAGGAGGCTGGCGGATCTCCTGATGGTAAGCAATCAGCGCCGCCCATGGACACTCGTTATACCAAAGAAGTTACTACAAGTGCGTTACTGGCGTCTTATGGGTTATTAGAGATATACGGATAGGTGATTTGGAGATGGAGAATGGGGGTAGGAAAAAATTGGGCCTCACTTACACGGCGAAACGTAACGCTGTGGTTGTTTCAAGCCGGTTTTCTGTGTAACCGTGCTATCGCTCCGGTCGAGCTGACCAATTCATGCCGAAGCTTGGCTCTCCTACACTATAATTTATTTATGGTTATTTATATATATTTTATCGTTTATTGTACCAATAAAAAAATATTGGGATAAGGAAAAATTTTGATAGTGCCCAGTAAAGAACACAATTAAACCATAAACATATTACGACACCAAAATTGAACAAATACAAACTCTTAACTTCAGCAGTAACCTGCCAGACACAGTCAGTTAGCCTGATAAAAAAGCTAAGCAAATTAAGTAAAAAATTATAATTCTACTATGAGCAAATTTACAAAGGTTTCCAAATAATATTGTAATTTTATTTAAAATTAACAAAAAGTTTTTGTAACTGAAACTATGAAAGGACTTATAACGGTTGGTTTGCTATTCAACAATGAACTTTAAAGGTGATTTAGCTTTTAGAGTTGAAATAATTTTCAATTGTAATGTTTTTGTTACTAACTTAAGATGTAAAAATACAATATTTTTTTATAAGATATCATAGTTTGGTGCTGGCTTGGCGCTTAAGTTAAAAATTACTATAGTTACGTATATAGAAAGAAAAAGAGGTGTAACGCCATTTAGTCAACATCCGTGCCACTTAGCATTTTAGAGTTTAATTAAATGACCTAAAAAAATTGTAAAAAAAAAGAAAACAATTGCCACGTTTTAAATATATTATTATGTATGGTGACATACATGTAACATAGTGTTTTTTGTTTTATTTTTTGTATTGGTTTGGATTGTGTAATGTGTAAGATAATTAATCTTATATATCTCATAATTTTGTCTCCTTATTACACCACACAACCCTACTATGATAGGTCTACCTTCATTAATTCATAAAAGCCTAAGATAGGTAAAGGAAACTATCGTCTGGACTCATAAATCCTAGTTAAAAGTTTGAAATCGCCCATCCACCTTAAGCAAACATCGTGATTAATTCTCAAAGCTCCGTCCAAGAGGTCTTTGTTTAGTCATGGACAATATCCGCCTGATGGTAATGATTATAACACTATCCTATGTAGTTGTGTAATAAAAGTCATCACGTATCCTTTCTTTTTCAGATTTATCTCAACTTCACACAATACGGCTTAGCAAAACCGAACGAGTGCAACGAGAATATTATTCAAGTATTTGAGACGGTTCATGAAGAACTAGACTCGAAGTGAGTAATAAATATATACTTTGCCACAAAATTTTCTTTTATAGAAGAGAGGTCATTTACATTTGTTTCTCGAACGCTGTTCCTTATGGGACATTGGGAAAGAAAGGTAGTTGAAAAAAATTAAGACGAAAAGTTATAACGTCATTTTCTGATATTTCTTTCTCTGTCTCTTTCTATCTCCCTCTCTAACTCTCTCTCTCTCTCTAGTAAAATAAAAAAAATATATAATTAATTGAAAGAACCTTTGCAACATCCGGGTGTCAAGGGATACCTTTCAAGTTTTTTTTCTGAAAATAATGACTTGCTCGCTTCATATGACAAATAATTCATAAAAAGTGGGGTGTAAAACACACACATGTGTCATGAATGCCATTGCAACTTGAAACTGCCATGATATCCGCAAAGAGCCAGTGTGTTGACCTACCTGATGATACATGCTCTGAACGAATACGAACTGATGACGATCATGACGATTAAACGTTTCTTACTGTTACCAGGTTAGCAGAATATTGTGGTTCCGTCGCTAACTCAGTAACGACGAAGGATCGAAATGGCAATGTCATGTACGTGAGGCTTTACGTCGCCAAGGATGCAAGGAAGGAAACCTCATTCAAGGCCACTTTCAACGCGTTTAGGACCCTGGATGCTAATAGTGATGGTAAGTGGAGGATGAGCACTGGTATTCTAGTAGTAAACGTTTTTTAACGATAAAAGTGGCTTAAGGAATACCCTTGGTGACTTTGAGTAAACTTATATAACTTCATCTTCAAAATGTCCAGCAGTTATATAGATAACTTCTCTTCACAGATAAATGTGGTGATGACGAATTCGATTGTGAGGACAATACTTGCATTGATCTCCGTCTAAGATGCGATCATGATGCTCACTGCCGCTTGAAAGCTGATGAGGACAAGAGCAGATGTGATGTAAGTACCTTAATCAAACCCTAACTGACGCAGTTGAAGTTCATTTTAAGAATTAGTTCCAATATGTCATGGTCTCGTATTGTTTGATCTTTCTGCACGTTCAACGGTCAGATTATACTGGTTGGCCTGATGTGTATTCGTGTGTATCTTTATGGTTGTACATCACAGTAAGACCTCGTTTATCGGATATATGTGTATATCGGATCTGGATAAGTAACATTTATAACATAGAATTAAAGATGATATTCCGTTACACCTTCAACTCACATACATCTTTATTGTTCCACAGCTAAAACAAGAGTCGACAATCAACCAGCCCCATATAATGGTGATCCTGATCATCTTCTCCCTGATCCTGTCAGGAATGAGTTTCGTCTTCATCTTTAAGTGTATGAGGAAATTGTACCAGGATCATAAAATTATCAAGGTTGGTGAAATATTTTTTAAAGGCTTGAATTTTCGAGAAAGTTCCAGAAAGTTAAGTCCTAGTATTTTTGTGTTATAAGTGTCTAAGCAGTCATTTTGAAAATTGCCTTTCACTGATTTTGATTTCAGACTCTAGTTCTTTTCCTAAGATTTTCTTTATAGACATCAGTCAATGACGAATCGACAGATTTGACTGTCTTGTCGATTTCAAAAAGAAATTATTATTATTTGTGCAACTGGTGAGTTGCACCTCCGGTTTGATCAAATTTAACATCAAAAAGATAAAAAAATAATTCTGTTTTTTTTACAAATCTATACGACTAAATTATGTTAAAGTTTTAGTATGATAATAATTAAACAATCTTCTCAACACAGGAGCATATCAGACAGTCATGTGAAGATCGCCTGGACAGCTTGGTGGGTAGTCGTCTAACGTTAGACCCCAAGAGGCTACAGAGGGACAGTGAGCCTCGAGTAAGTTTAGAAAGAGAGAATCATAACAACGAAATGGTAAAGAAACAAAGGAGTTTCTCTTCTAAACATAAGGTTAGTAAAAAACCATTATTTATTATCACGGTCTTGCATCTACTGAGCGTCTGCATTGCAAAGGTGTCCAGCTGCATTTCAAATAACGAACCTCGAAAGGGTCGCCTTTTCCCGATTTTCTCGATTTTCTCTACTTTTCTCATTCAATAATAACAAACACATCAAAAAAATTCTGCAAAATCGTTTATTTGTTATCGATACAACACACTTAAATTCATTATTTGACTGCACGGTTGGTGCGGTGGCTGGGCAACTGGCTGCCGTGCAAAAAATATTATACGTATTAACGATGATTAGGGACCCAATCATCACCATGAGCTGATGAACTCAATGTTCAGCTCTTCTCGCAAGGGTGCAAAGCTAATACTAAGTATATACAACTTTCAATCAATTTTTCTAACAAATAAGCCGCATCAACATCCGTTCCGTAAAGTTTTTTTTTTTACAATAACACGGTCGACTTACCACGTTTAGTCCTCCGATTCGTTGAACTACGGCCTCACAGAATACCGTTGTGAAACTCCAGTCGAGCCCGCCCATTCATGCCAAAGCTTGGCTCTCCCACCCATAAATACCTGAACCATATGAGCCGAGCTAAGCGTAACCATAAAAGCTTTTAAGACTAATATGATATACTATACTTAAGAGAGTTTAGTTTTCCAAATAATGCATTTTTAAAATGGCAACGTGGAGAACGCTGTAGAACATTCTTTAAAAATAAAATTTTCAACGCCAAAGTCTAGTAGTGGATGGAAACGAGCTGATTTTGTTATCGATTATAATGATGCTGTTGATTATTTCCTGACATGTAGAGATCGTTCAAGACGATCATCATTCAAGTGTGGGAAAACCATGCTTCGGCACAAATGGTTCGGCATGACTAGAACCACGCTGTGGATGTTTACCATAGCATTCTGGTTCGCTGTGTGTAAGGTTATGGGAGGCCCAATCCTTCTTCTCTTTCCCCGATCTCTAAATCTCTGACACCTTAATTCCCAAACTGTGCACTCATTTTTTTGTGAGGGGAAAATCATCAAATGACTTCTCCCGCCCAGGGCTGGGCGGGAGGGAGTGTCAGACTCTTACTGACTAAAAACCCCCGTGTTCCTTTTCCTGCTCTGGGCCGAGGTCGCGGCGCCTCATTGCGCTTACCCCGCAACCCCGGCTGAGTGCACTCTTAAGTTCTCTGGTATCACTGGTGTCGTTGGATACATATACCGTATACCGTACACCGTCCGCTTTTTGGCTGTTCTGTCACATAAAAAAAATACTCCAAAATATAAAACTACTTTGCCGTTACAAGACATGATCTTGTAATTTGATAAAGGAAAGGCCGATTCAGCTAATTGTGAAATTTGCAACACAGTTGATGATGATCAGTGGCTTTTGAGGGAATGTGCTGAGAAGGAAGTATACCCGCCGCAGTGTCTTCATTAAATAAAATTTAAATCTGTTCCATGTTGGTATAATACTAACAATAATGTCTATACCAATATCTATAAGAGCCTTTAAAATATATTATTGAGCTTTACTACGTTAAATAGTTTAGAAACTATGTTACTAGACTATATATGTAAATATTTATATTAGTTACCTGTCTATCGGCCTAATTGGTCTAAGAAATTAGGTCATGTTAAGGTCAGTTCGGTTCACCCGAAACATTTAGTTCAAATGACCCAAAAGAAAGTTGATGTTAAAAAATAATAATAAAAGGTTATATTTTAAATACAGGTGAAATAATTCCGTTCACTCAGAGACCGAAAGACTTCAAATTTCATTCTTTGGGAAATCTTTAAAAGAGACGATCGCTTAATAAACGATATACTCTTTTAATAGATCTTAATTCTAAGTCTTAATATCATCCACAAGACATCAGTGGCTGAACATGGGCCCCATTATATCATTAAAATATAGTCAATCCAGTAACAATGTCCTGAATTTGGAAAAATCTAACAAATACATTTTTTACAGCAATCAAGCATAGAATCCGATTACCAAGAAACCCATTTAGACTTAGACGAAGAAATATGGAGAAGAGAAGTGGACAGCATGCCAATAGAAGAAGATGTCTCCATAGAAAGGAATGGAAGAGCCAGGAAAAGTGACTTCAGCAGAAAAGAAGAATCAATGAGAAGTAGAACGAAAGAGAGTGAGGATAGCAGGGAGAAGAAAGAGATGAAAGAACATAAGAGGGAGATTAGAGATGTGTCAGTTGGAGCGCCAGATACTAAAGAGTCTGGTTGCCAGACCAGAGAGAGTTTGTTCCAAACTGATCCTCCACCTAGTTCCGATGGTAAGTTTTTTAAAAAGTTATTTCATTCCAAATAGTTTTGCTTCTCTTTAAAGATGAACAAGAAAAATATTGTTCGCGGTTTTATATAAAAATAATCTCCTTCATCTTTGCTTAAGTTAAATAAATACAGGCTTGCCAAAATCGTTATTCATCACTGAGCTATTTAGATAATAGCTTACACTAAAAATGAGCGTGAATTCCAAACCTATTTCCAAATAATTTACAATTTATGAAAATAAAATCTATTACCAATAATGCTTTAGTTCAAACTTGAGATTTTTCCCAGCAATTCCATTTGCGTCGACGACCAATAGCGACGATTCTATCGACAATGTTTGTTCTTCTCCTTATTTCAAAGTTGTTCGTAACTTTACAACGTAGATGCAAAGATTATTTGTGTTTCCGATTTCTTTTCTCGGCAAACTTGCTCAGGAGCTACGGGTCTTTGCTGCAAATTCAAACCATTTCTTGAGTTGTTCTGTGTATCTTTATTGACTAGGATTTTTTCAAGTTTGATTGGTGCGTTTAAAAACGTGGAATTTCACATACGCATTAAGCCCAGTCCAAGAATTTGGGGATCAAACAAGCAGTCGTTCCGTACAGAACAGAACCCGTGACATGTTATATGACAGCCGGCTGCACAGCCACCATGAAAACTGTGGAGTCATTACGTCGCGAAAACTGACGGTTAAATATGTTTATGTATAGTATGACACGAAAGTAACACTAAAGTGTGTTGACGTGTTCGCCACAAAAAAAAACTGTACATAAATCTAACATGGTAACACCAATCGTACGGGTTTTAACCTTATCAGTGTTGAGAATAAGTTAAAAATCAATTAAAGCGATGACCTTTTGTACCCTCAATATATTCGCTACTTCTAAACCTTTTTGACTTAGACTTACCCAATGACTTCAACGTGACATGGTAAATTTTAAATTAAAACGACTTCCAAATACCTTCATCCACTCAAAAATTCATTGTATCTACTTCTAACTAATTTAATTAATAAACACTAATTTTATTGCAAATAAATTCAATATAAAGCCTCGAGGAGTACCCATCATCTCTCCATTACTCAATGCTGAAGTGGCTGGCAGAATCTGTATTACTTTTTTAATATAACCTCTATCGTGTGACGTTATCATACCAAGATGGCGGATGTTTCGCGCCAATCGCCATATTAGATTTTTGCGCAGTATTAAGGGCTACTTTAAAATATAGTGGTTATAAAACTATATTTTAAATTCTTGACAAAGATATTGCATTAAACATTAGGTGGAATTTTAAAGCAGGTATTTACTTTTTAACATTAACTGTCATTTAAAGCTCTTCTATCACTTACAACACACGAAACCATTCCAAGGAGGTGGCATAATAGTAAGGTTTATCGTTTATTTGGTTTTTTTTTGTGCTCAACTCTCTTTCAGAAGTTACTGTTTATGGTTTAGTTGGAATCAATGCTTTTGATTTTGTGTAGAACAAATTTTTGTACTGTACAGGGGATCTTTTACATACATTTTTGACAGATTCCCGGATGGTAAGCAATTGACGCTGGGCAATCGCAAAATTGTGCGTTGCCGGCCTTTGGCGGTTAAGTCTTTGAGGATTGGGGGTGGGGGTGGGGGAACTCCAATCATTAGGTACAGCTCGTAAAACCCATTTAACATAAAATTAAGATTAACCTGAAACTAAATCTGGGTCCTATCTTATCTCGAATTTTTCTCATAGGTTCCGGCACCAACAGCCGTGGGTTCTCAACGTTTGGGTATTCCGGGGCCACCATCGTTAGGCCTTCGCCCCCAGCCACCACGAACACGTCAGAGATCACCATAGAACTCCTGAAACAAATACCTTCGCAAGAATCCAAACCATGTGGGTATTATAACGTGGCATTTTATTTTTTGGAACGGGTTTTTGCTTGCAAAATTTTAAGAATTTATTACTTGAGGTTTCATACAATTAACCCTTTGTTTTGGTTGAAAATAAGGACTTAGTTATCTTCAAGTGGACGTTCTCGTTGCTCGTGAATATGAGTCCCGTCCAGTGACTTTATTAACATCCTAGAAAAGTTACTAATTCTGGCAATAAAAAATAAAAAATGTGCACGTTGAGTTTCCAGCGAAAACTTAGTTTATTCAGAATTGATATTCTACAGATAAACTATGCATGCTTTTTTTTACACCAGTGACAACGAATATCGCCAATAGTTATATATTTTCCGGTGACATATACATTTCATCTAATTATAGAAAGTACATATAACTCGGAACAAGTAACATTGGTATTTGTCAGGTTTCGAACCCTCATGCATGAGAAGCGGACGCCTTAACCTCCGGGCCGCCATGACTGTTATGTTGATATATTAATTTCTCAGGCTTTAAATATTTAGTAGCGGTAAGACCCCTCTTTGAGGAGTGGCTTGAGAGACGCCACGGCGTCCTCACCTTCCGCCTGACGCAGGTGCTTACCGGGCACGGCAGCTTCGGTAGGTTCCTGTTTCGGATCCAGCGGAAGGAAACGCCCGAGTGTCGTCATTGTGAGGATCACATGGAGGACACGGTGGAGCATACGGTGGCGGAGAGGCTATAGCAGGAGTAGGAACAGGGAGGTTTTTAGTCAGTAAGAGTCTGACACTCCCTCCCGCCTGCCTGACCCTGGGCGGGAGAAGTCATTTGATGATTTTTCCCTTCACAAAAAAAGGCTTTAAATATTTTTGAAACCAAATTTTGTCATTTACTTAAAGCGAATTCAAAACTAAATCTAACTGGATGTTGATAAGGCTTTTAGTCAAGTTTTAATAGGTTGCAAAGAAAATAAGTTCTTTGAAGTAAGTAGAAGAACAAGTTAAACAGAAATCGTTTATCCAAGTTAATCTTAAGTTAATACTTAAAGGACCTGAATAATTACCCTTTTAATGTTAACCCTTCGGTTTTAATCTAGAATTTGTTATATTTTATTAATTTCAAATGTTATTGGCCCACATAATTATAGTAAGGTTACGTTAAGGTCAAAAATCCGAAGCGAAAGTAACTCTGTCTGTCTGTCTTTTCTTAACGCCTAAACTACTGAACTGATTTCTGTTAAATTCGGTACAGACATAGTTTGGAACTCGAGAAAGGACATAGGATAGGTTTTATACCAAAAATCTGCAAGAAGTCACTATTCCACGTGGACGGAGTCGGGGGCAAAAGCTGTACAAAAGCTGTAAACCGTGTACGCTAGAACAGTGTACCTTTGAAACCAGCTTCAGGTACCAGTCGCCAGCAAAGATGGCGACTACTGATGTTATTAGTGTCGTAAAATACTATTAAATTTATATTTTAGAATACAGCTAGTCCGTGTTAAAAAAGTATTGGCAACTTTTATAATAAAATAGACCACTAATTATCGTGTATTCAGATACTATTTATTGCATAGATCCAATAAGGATATTGTCTTTTCATTGCTTAGGAAAAGTCGAATCAATTTATTTCTGGCAAATTAAACGCTTTTTTCGTAAACAAAGAAACTGACAATCGAAGAAGCTACATTTAGAAAATCTTTTTTCTTCCGAATCAACGACGAAATTTCTTAGAAACTCAACGAAAACAAAAGACTACCTACCATGTATTGTTATCATTAACAATATAAATATAGAAGCCTTATAATTAACAAAGAAACCAACTGAATAGACACCCAATTAGCAGTTCTAAGAATGCCTTCTAAAACATATTTTTTGTTACAGTGAAGAAAATTCCTGACCGCCGTCCGATAAGCACGGAGACGACGCGATCAGCTCCCGACGTCATCATAGTGTCAAAACCGATTCGCTGAGGGTGACCTTTGGGGCCCGCTCCATGGGCCCCAAAACCCCCCGACACCTGGTACCCCCTAGAGCCTCGTATGAGGCCCGAGGGGTCCTACCAACCCCACACATGCCACTTAGACTCTTTTTCAAAAAGCATGTCCTTTAACAATTGTGATGGATACTATAGCCAGTACTTCGATGAACGACCAAAACTAATTTATGACTACTGTCTTAAAAGTGATTTTGAGTATAAGAAGGCCCAGACTTTGCCAAGAAATTTGGGGTCTTCAATGGACTTTAAGCCTAAAGTGTACCCTCAGAGGAGTGTGTGTTTTTATGGCCTTGACGACGAAGAGGACTGTCCCAGGCCAAGGAAGACATTTGTTGTGCGTGCGGATATTGAGCCTCATAGATAACATTTGTAAGAACTTTTATAGCATTTTTAAATAGGTAGTTAATTAAAATTAATTATAAATGTATCTACTTAATAATAGAATGTTTTAGTTTTGTTTCGGTTTGTGATTTTTTTTTATAGGATAACGAATTGTAGTTTTTTTGGGGATTGTAGTTTATTTTATTATATTTGTTTGTTTGATTAATGTTATGGTTTTACAAAAAAGTTAATAGTCTCTGGGAGGCTATTTTACCTGGCCTGATCCGAAAACGGGGCTAAAATGCTTGAATCTCAGTTAATGGCTCACTTGAGACCCTAATACAGCCTATCAGAAACGATTTGGATTATGTCCCAGGAGTAAATTATAACGAAATTATAGGTAAGGATACCAACACATCAAGATAGATCGAATATCAACCTTGTACATTTGCAATGAAGTTAAAAATTGTTTGATGAAAATTGACTTTTCGGGTAGCTTGACATGCAGGTTGGTATCTGTACATTTGTTTTCGAAAAATGAAATTTAAAATAAACTACGTAGGTCTTATTAGAAAACAATATTTTTCTTTACTGAGCCAGCTTTTGTATTTCAAATTGAAGGTACGTGAGAATAAGGTTCAAAATACAAAACCTGACTCCATGGTTTAAACGTAGACCAAAGATAAATCTTGTTTTGAAATAGGCCATGAGTTTTCATTCTTTGTTTGAATTTAAATTAAAGAATATTAAATTTAAATTAAAAATGTAAAAATAATTTATTGAAAAGTAAACGCACAGGACTTTGTATAGTTATTTTAACATCTGGTGAAATCCAAACAAAATGTAATGTGTACTAATGTAAATAAAACCAATCAACTGCCAATATTTTTAAAATAAAATATATAAAAGAAACGAGCGTACTCCTTCTTAAAAAGGCTGGCTCGCCTGTAGCTTCTCTGGTGTCCATGAGCGACGCTGACCATTTACCATCAACTGATAAGGACGCTCGTTTGACACCTATAATATAAAAAAAAATGTAGAAATATTTTGAAATTTGACATACGTATAAATTAATTTTACATAAAATTTTACTTTAATGCTTTATAAATTGAAATCAATGTCATATAAAATTGTAGTTCGAATCTTATGAAAATATAGTCTACAAATTAATTTAGTAGGTAAAGCAAATAAATCCTCCTCAGGCCTCAGCGCCTCAGAAGGTGACACTTCGGAGCGACGATCTCCGGCCACCGGCAAAGACACCCGCAACGGAGGAGTTACGAGTGCGTTGCTGACCTTTTAGAAATTGGGGATTTTTTAGATTTGGGGATTAAGGAGGAATTGGGGGAGGGGAAGGATTGGGCCTCTGGTAACCTCACTCACACGGCGAAAAACACAACGCTGCGGTTGTCTCACGCCGGTTTTCTGTGAAGCCGTGGTATCACTCCGGTCGAGCCGACCCATTCATGCCAAAGTATGGCTCTCCCACACTTATAATTATGTTCTTTTGAAACAATTTTTTAATTTAAATTGTTTACCTTTTAATCAGTTAGGGGTTGCTGGTTAAGCTCAACAATATATCGGAGCCCCGGCACCGAGCAGGAACGCGTAGAACTTTAACACTGGCCCTGCTTAAGGTGAAAAACAAAACCAAAACCGCAATAAGTGACCATAAAATGTCTATACTTTCTTTACTTTACGATTACAATTGGAAATTATTGCAAAACAAATTTTTACATGAATCAACATACAGTTTCAACACAAAACTCTTTCAAAATATTTCTACAAACAATCTGAATGCAATGAAATTGTATTACATTAAATAAATGAATTAATTTACATTATTATTTCGAATTGTTAAACCAATTCTGTAAGATTTAATAAATAAAAACTTACCTAATTTTAAGATACTTAGAATTTATTTTAAGTCGTTTCAAATAATTATATGAATTCAGAATTTAACTTTACGAATATAAAAAAATGGTTTCCATTTAAAAAATGTGACATCTGTTCAAAAAAACACATAAAACATAAAAAAATTTGTCAATGGAATAAAAATTTAAATAGATTTATTTATAAATGGAATAAGGTTTTTAAATTTAAAATAGTTTTGTTATTTCATATTCATATTGAGATACATAAAATGACACGAGTCTTCCAAAAATAAATTGTTGTACACAAAAAAATAAATTTTAGCTTTTCGATATTATTCTCTCCATTTATTGCCAAATGTTATTTAAAAAGTGTGTTCACAGTATTGATATTAATGAAATAGTTAATTTTATTTAGACCAGATTTTTCAATGGTTAGATAAAAGTTACATGGGGAATAATTATGATACTGGCACTTCAGAATGTTTGTGTAAGACAGTGACAGCAACAATTTTATTCCTCAGATAACATTTATCTGACCATTGAAAAACCAGCCTTTAATAACATATATGGTGAAGTTTATTTTGTTGTATTGATGCATTAACAAAATGAATTTAATAATAATATGAATAATTAACAGACCAATAGAATGGATCTAGCCATTCGGCTGATGAAATGGGAACATCTGTCTACTTGAACTATTGACCTTTAATTTGCGGATTATAGGCAGTTGTACTTATGTTCCCGCCTACGTTTAGCCTTGAGGTCGAGCAAAGTAATATTGGATTTCCAATTCTATCAAAGTTCTTAATTGTATCTTGCCAGCCGTAATAGGCTCACCCACTGAACCAGTGAAAATAACTCAAAAGTGGGTGTGTGTTCTACAACTTTGCTATCGAAAAAAATATAATGTTACGTCTATTTGTTGCATTCATATTAATGAAAAAATAAATATTATTTATATTTAATTAAATTCATTTATTTATTTAATTGAATATAATACATGTGGACATGCTTTCAATAATTTATTTAATTCAAATGTAAAAATGTAGAATAAATATTAGCTATTTAGACAAATCAATGAATAGACCAATTCGAATAAATCATATTTATTATTATGAATTAATGATTCATAAGTGAAAATAAATGTAAATAACATTAAATAGATAAATGTAGATAATTTCTTAATAGAAAAATAATTAATATTTAATATTGTTGAGAAAATTATTTGAACTAATAATGTTATTTATATAATTATTATTAAATTTGACAATATATTGGTTTATTATGTTGTTTGATATAATTAGTATATATAAAAGTCTATTTCATAAAAAAATAATTATGAAATAAGTTAAAAAGCAAAAACCTATGAGATTTTTAAAGAGATATTTATGTGTTTATCAATACTTTAATTTATTAAAACTTTTAAACAAATTCGAAAATGTATTAGACTAATTTAAATAAACTGTGTTTCTATTTTTAGCCAGTGGTAAACTATTTATTTATTTTATGGTGAATCGATAACTAATTTATTAAATACAAGTTAGACAAACACACAGTCACAAAAATAATTAACAGAAAAAAAAATGGCAGAGCGGAAAAAGCACAAAAAATATACAAATGCTGCAATATCGATGCTTCAATTTATTAAAACTTTTAAACAAATTCGAAAATGTATTAGACTAATTTGAATAAACTGTGTTTCTATTTTTAGCCAGTGGTAAACTATTTATTTATTTTATGGTGAATCGAATTAAACAATCATATAGTCACAAAAATAATTTACAGATTAAAAATGGTAGAGTTAGTAATGTAAAAGTAGGGTAAAAATGGTATTTAAAATCGAGAGGAAAAAGCACAAAAAATATAAAAACCTTTTTAAATCCTCAAACCAAGTATTTACTTGACATTGTTATATTCTTTTTTATACTTGTGTCTTGATTTTATATTTCTAACACACTATTATCAATTGGAAGGACCTCATCTCTCTGCACCGCGGCCTCGGCCTAGAGCAGGAGAAGGAACTGGGGGTTTTTAGTCAGTAAGTCTGACACTCCCTCCCCTCTCATCCAGGGCGGTAATCCCGCCAAAAAAGAAAAAAACACCCTCTTTCTCTCTGTATAAGGAAAGAAGGAGTGTCAGACTCTTACTGACTAAAAACCACTTCATACCTTCTCCTGCTCAAGGTCAGGATTCAGGATCGCGTTACATTAATGTCCTTGCAGCCGCAATCCCAGCTGGAACTACATCCACCTTTTAAAGACCTTACTATGGGCATAAGTAAGTAATGAAAATAAATTAAGTGGCTATAATAGATTAACTCCTAATCCCCAGCCGTCCCACGCTGTCGAAAGTTCTAGACTGAAATAAAATGTCGCCTTACCGAGCCGGCTATACCAATAAATTATTCGCAACTAATCTCCGACCAAAGTTTCTAATACCTAAATTTACTGGGACGGAAAATTCTTTGCCTGTTGTTTGGGTCTTGTGGTTATTGGAGGGGCTGCTTGGCAACTGATAACAAGTTCAAAATAACTCTAATATGGATATTGGTCCGTTCTTCTTAATAGTTTTATTGACTTAATGCTTCGATTCGAAAAAAAAGAAGTTCTTTACAAATAATGAAATTTAATACTCTTTACTCTTTATACAAATCAAAACTGAACTTTATTTTATTGCACAGGTAGGTCGGCAAGCGAGCAGACTGTTCACCTGGCAACGCCCATGGGCACTAGTAATACCAAAGGAGTTACTACAAGTGCGATGCCGACTTGTAGTTAGG